CCAAAAGTTGTGATGCTTTTCTTCACCCAGTGCTTTGGGGCTGTGTTAGATCTTATTCACCTGCGGTTTCAGCACTACAAGGCAAAGAGGGTTTTCTCAGCCGCCGGGCAACTTGTCTGCGTCGTCAACCCAACGCACAGCCTAAAGGTGAGTTAAAAATATTTTTCCTCTCTTCTGACATCTTCTCGTCCTCCCCTCCCCCCGACGGTGTTTCTCCGTAGGGAATGAAATGATGCTGTGGCAGCGAGGGGAGAGTGCTGTTAACACGTTGCAGCCCTGGCAGAGAGGATGTTTGCATTGTCTGGCTGCATGATTCCCTTCGGAGCGAAGGGGAAGCGACCCGCTGCTCCAAGCGAGCGTGGGAAGCGGCTGCTCCCCCTCCTCAAAGTTTCCTCATCCCTTTCACCCCTGTAACGAGCACGCGCCTTGCAAGCCTCTTGGAGAAAATGATTGGAAAAGTTAGTTGGATGAATTAAGCTCCCTTTTTGGTGGAAGGACGCCGGGTGGGCTCCCAGGCTGACACTCAAGCACAGCCGGTGGCTGCCCAGCAGCGGGGAGCGGGGAGAGGGGGGCGGCAGCCAGCGCAGGGGTCTCCGCCTGCTGGTCTTGTTCGCTTTTTGGGGGGAAAAAGGCTGTTTCTGTCTCCTGAGGGGAGTCTGAAGGCATTCCTCTGGCGCTGAAAGTGTCCTTAAGCCGTTTGCAAGGTGAATCTATTTTAGGCAGGAGAATACATTTGCCTTAATGCAAAACTATTTATAGTCCCCATAAAACATTTCTCTTACTCACACGGTTCTGGATTTTCACTGACAGAGTGTCAACAGCTCCGTCTATCCCAGAGCCCTGATGTTTGTATGTAGAGAAGGAGCAGCAGGGGGAGAAAGCGACTGGGAGGCTTTAATTACATTACCAGAGTAGTGGATGACCAACTTTAATGAAGTGACTCTTGTTTTGCGGGAAGTCCTTGCGGACCTGACCTGTGATGCTGCTTCGCAAGCCCAACAGGCTCAGGAATTATATTAATTCAGGACAACTTATCTTCAGCTCTGCTGGGGTTCCCGCCAGGAACCCGGAGAGCTTGCGGGGAGCATCTTTCCTGAACCTGGGAGGTCTGCTGACGGGGTAAATCCCTCTTCAGAACAGCACCATCACCCCACCCCCACCCCAAAAAAAGGCAGATTTTCCAGAGTTATATTTCCAGTCTCAGGATGTGCTTAAGCAGGGAGAGATTGTTTCCAGCAGGGTGCCAGCTCCGGGAGGATTTCCCTGCAAGGCTGTGCTCAACCCACGAGCACCCGGGGCAGGAGCTGACGGGGGACGGACTGCTCAAGTGCGAGCTCGCCTCTCCCAGCATCGCGCTCCTCCACCGACACAAGCTATTTAAAAAACCTGCAGCCCTGTCATTACCTGAAAGGGTCTGGCCATCCAAATGGATAAAAGAAATAGCCGTGTTCCTAAGTGCATGGGGAGATTTTGTAAGTGAATGCTTCTGTGCTCGACCCCTTTTATGCGACTGTCTCCTGCTACTTTCATCTATAATTTTAATTATTAAAAAAAAAAAACCCAAACTGAGCAGAAAAAAGGTTATTGAAGGTCACGATACAATTTCAGTGCTAATGGCACTGTCTGATGAGATCCCATAAGCACACAGAGGGGTGTCCACTGACTGCCTCACTGGTAACTAGGACTAGACCTGAATTTATCAGTTCAGGTCCTCTCGAGTTGCAGATTTGCTATGGTAAGGACTGCAGCATTTTACCTTTGAGCATACCCCAAAAAGTTGATGCTTCTGTTCCTCTCTGTTAAACACATAGGGCATTTTAATGTATTAAAATCCCCCCTGGCCCAGTTCTTCACTGGTCAGACCCAAAGCCTAGCAGAGAGACAGGCAATCTCAGTACTGCCTTGGCAGCTGTTAAAAGTAGGCACTGGATGCAAAACTCTCTTGGAAACAAATGGGAGCCTCTAGGAAAAGGTCAGTGAAGCCCCAGTGAGAATTGTCTTGACCTGGGTGGAAATTGCGCCTGCGATATGATTGTAGTGGGAATCCGATGGCACATGTTTCCCCATGCAGGCCTGTTGAGACACCAGGTAGATGGGACAAGCTGAAAAGAAACTGCCCTGCTCCGAAAAAACCTTCTGACTGTGAAGTGAAATACACTTTGAAGGTGCTCCCGAGTCACCCAGCTCACATCCAGCTGGGTAAATGCGGCAGGCTTTAGCACTGGTCCACTCTCAAGGTGTTCAGTTTGGTTTCCCACCAGCTCTGTAAGGAAGCCACCACCGCTTTGTGCCAGCACCCAGAAGAGAGGAGTGGGTTGGACCCCTCTGTGCCCAGCCTGGCATGACCAGTGCCAGTGAGCCATCGGAGCCTGTGGGCCAACCCCAGTTGTCTCCGAGCGAGACCTGGTGGTGGAGAGGTTGTCACCTCCAGCCAGCAAGGCTCCCTGTCCAAAAACAGGTATCAAAGACAAGCCAGGTGACACCACTTCTCCAGGTGATCGTTTTTCCCCTGGGGATGCACAGGGAAGTTGTGGTTGCTCCTAACTCCAGCAACCTGGCTCAGACACTTTGGAAGCTGGGAAAGGGAAATCCCCCCCAAAACTGTCCCGTATGCCAAATGACACCTGAGGAACCATTAAAAATGAAAGGGCTGAACATATTCCTCTGCGGTGGTTTACAGTATTATGACTACTTTGACGTTTCATAGTCTATTATTTCCAGCTAGGTCATTTCAAGAGTAACATTTTGTTGACAGCCCCCAAATCTATCTTAACAATTGACAAGTGGAGTGAAAACTGTATTAAGGTTCGCGGTCGATGAATACAAGCCTGCTAGGAAACAAGGGCTAGGAGCAATGTCATTTGTCTGCCTTCCCTTTGAGGTTTAAATGTTTCTGCTTACTCCAAAACTGTAAGCTCTTTGCAAAGGGATTATTTTATGTTCTATCTCCACAGCACCCAGGTGAGGGGGCTCCTGGCTGACTGGTGCAAATGATAAATGACAGGCATCGTATTTTGGTGTGATTATGCATGTTGACATCCCTCACACAGGTCAGGTCCTCAGTCAGTGCCAATGCGCATAACTCCCTTCAAGTCAAATCACGGCAGGACCTCTGTTCTCACCCCTTCCACCCAGGGGAGCGCTCAGGGATGGTGGTGGGATCCAGCCCACTGCAAGGACCCATGGTCGGTGATCCCATATCTGTGTCAGAGATTTGGCACCACATCAAGCGCTCGGTGAGTGGCAGAGGGTCGGGGAGCCCTGGAACCCTCCAGGGAAAGGTTGTACCAGCTTCTCCTGTCACAGACCCATAGCTAGACCAAGGGGGACCTCCAGTAAAGTTATATTGGCACACTGTCACTGCAGTCACAGCCTGGACCTCTGACCATGCCCAGAGTCCACCACTCACCTCTTCCTTTAGGAGAGGTCTGGAGGTTGCCAGAGAAGCACATGCTTAGAAAGAAACCCATGTCTTTCTTCCCACTGAAAGGCTCATTAACTGGGAACGCTGATGAGTGATTCAGTGCATCTTAAAGGAGAAGACGTAAGAGTGTCAGCGCAGACACCTCTATTGATCTGCTGCTATTTTCCCTGTGCACAACAGGCTGACACAGGCAGCTCTACACAAGCAAAGACAATTTTGCAACCGCCACCCTCGGTTTTGCCTGTTTGGAAGGGGTATGAATGGGCGGGGGGTGTGTGTGTGTGATTTGGAGCCTCTTTGTCCTTCTTGCCGCTTTCTGCTCTTTGTCCTCCCACGAGCTTTCCCAGGCGTGGCCGCAGCACCTTACGAAGTGGTGCTATGCTGGGATCAAAATTCACTTGCCAAGCAGAGAAAAAAATCACATATTTATCGTGCTTCTATAGGTCACCTTCGTTCTCAATTGTATTATATACATTACCTTGTAACCTGTCTTCCTTCAAGCATACAGTCGCCCTGACATCTCCCCTTGGAGAGGCACAGCCAGGCAACGGAGCGCCCCAGCTAAATGGCTGCTCCCTCCAAGCACATATTAATTAGAGGAGGCCCCGGCGTGCGGGGGAAGTTTTAAGGTGCTCCGTGTGCGTGGAAGAAATGAACAGGGTTCACTGATGCCTGTGGAGATGAGGCTCGGGGAATTCCTCTGCATTTCCCCCCTGTTAATAACAATTTCCCCCAGCACTGCTAACTGCACCCTGGGGAAAAGGCGAAGGTGGGAGGCTGTGCCCTCGCTCCTTAGCTGGCATCGGTCCCTGCCCCAAAACCCAGCCGTACGTGGCAGAGGACTGCAGTGCAATCACAGCCTGGCTGGGCACCGATGCCTTGCGAGGTGCTGTGTATGACTGGTTAAAACAGGTCTTCATTCAAGAAGTTACTAGCTTTTTACACCCAACTTTAACTCTTCGGAGAGTGTGAAAAAGGTTCTTGTAAAGAGTCAAAAAGTGTGTTTGTAACGTTCTTGTAAAAATCACCCGTCTCCATCTCTGTAGGACTTCAAGGAACTTACTGAATTATGAAAAGAAGCACATTTAAAGGAGGGCATAAATAGTTCAATTTTATATTCAGAAAGGGTCGTAGCATGGTTTATGGGGCCAAGCTGTCTTCTAGCTATTTTTTAAAGCAACAAACAAATCTGCTCTGAGTTAGGGAAAGGATTTGAATCCTGTTATAACAGTTTGGCTCTGCACACGGGGGCCAGCCAAATAGCATAGTAATCCACTTCATCCCCAGCAGGATTAAAGTGCTACGGTGCATTATACCCCCATGAGATTTATTTATTTATTTGGTGCAAGGGAGGAGAGGGACTCTGAAACCTGCTGCTAACAACCCCCAGACATCCTCTGTCACTGTCTCAGCCCAGACACCCTCAAATCTCTTGTGCAGGGCTATGATTTGGGGACCCTAAGTGGCATTTGGCCCTAATATCCAGCAGGATCATGACAGCCATGGCAAGAGGGGCTGCAAACACCCCTGCTGCCTGCAAACCCAGGTTCTGGGCAAGGCGCCTGGGTCCCATCCCAGCCGAGGGCCAGGGCTGCGTGAATGCTGGGCACCTCAGACCTTCAAAACCTTTTGTAGCGATGCAGACGGCAGCAAGCAGCGCTCCTTTGCCACCCTTCCTTCAGCCCTGCCTTTGTTCGAAGGGGTTTCAGTGGGCAAAACTGGA